GCCTCTGGGGGGCCTCTTGGGCCGTCTTGGGCCGTCTTGGACTCTCTTGGGCCGTTTTGGAGGCCGTCTTGGACCATCTCGGGCGGACTTGGAGGCCATCTTGGGCCATCTTCGCGATTTTTTGAGGATGTCCCGAGCGAAACGGCCGTTTTTGGGCACGGTGGCGGGACGGGCCGGAGCCCACTGGAGAGTTCTTTTGGAAAAAGAACCAAAACCAAAACCTAACAGCTCATCCAGCACGCCGTGCACCCCTGCAAGCAGGGGGCGGCGGATCCAGTGGCCTTCGGCCTATCCCACCACCGTGCGTGGGTGGTGGGTCAGAGGCCTCATGGACGCTGATAGGGATATCGTGGTTGGCCGGGACCTCTGGGGGCCTCTTGGAGGCTTCTTGGGGCTTCTTGGGGGCCTCTTGGGCCTCTTGGGGCCACTTGGGGGCCTCTTGGGGGTCTCTTGGGAGTCTCTTGGGGCTTCTTGGGGGCCTCTTCTGGGCCCCTTGGGGCCTCTTGGAGGCTTCTTCGGAGCCTCTTGGTGCGGGAGGGGTGGCACTCGAGTTCGGAACCCCCTCGGAGGCCACGATCCTTGTGAGGGGTGTCAAAAAACGCATCCGCCGGAAACTCGCACCCCCCCCCCCCACCCCACCCCCCCTTCCCCGGCAGAGCCACCCCGGCAACCCCCCCGGAGGCTGAGGCTCAGCCTCGAGGCTGTAGCTGAGACTCCTTGTAACTCACACGCCGGATCGGCGGATTAGGGTTGGTATTCCGTAGTGCGAGTACTCCCAGGGACCTAGGACGAGTACTCCCGTGGACGAGTACGCCCTAGGGGTAGTAATTCCCAGGACTGGTACTCCTTGGGGCTAGCAGTCCCTGCGGCTAGTACTCCGTAGGACTAGTACTCCCTATGGATGAAATTACCAAACACCAACACTACAGCACCATAGTACTACCACACTACAGCAACACTACCACAATACCAGTACCACAACACCACAACACCGCTACCACAACACCACAACACCGCTACCACAATACCACAACCACAACACCACAACACCGCTAGCACAACACCAAACCACAGCACCACTGCCACTACCACAACACCACTACCTACGAACAACTCAACAACACTACCAACACCACACCACTAACACAACACTACCAACACCAGGCCACTAATACAGCACACCACTACCAACACCACACCACTAACACAGCATACAGCACAACCAGCCACTACCAACACTACACCACTAACACGACATTACCAACACCACACCACTAACACAGCACAGCGACCACCACACCACTAACACAGCACTACTACCACGTGGGTTCCAGGTGGGAGTTACTGTGGCCACTTTTGCCTGCGCGGGAGTGCATTCCCTTAAGGGTTGCGAATCTTTCCAGATCTAGCATGAGATACCTTTACATATTACTTCTCATTGAGCGGCCTGCGCGGGCCACAGTAACTCCCATCCCGCCGCGCGACGGGCCACACTAACACCCAACGGGCCACACTAACACCCAACGGGCCACAGTAACAACCGGTCGCCGCCTGTGGCAGGTCCTGATGAGGATAGCTAGCCACACGTCGAAACGCTGGAGACGGACAGGACCAGAAGTGCCTTCAGAGTGGGCATGATCAGTCCTAAATCGAAGGGAGGTGCGCAATCACTTGCTTCAACCCTCAGCTACCGGCTCAGCCACGGGCGGGGGTGAGGCGGTGGCGCATATTTGCTTGCATCTTGCAGTGATGCGGACATGATTGGCAAACTATTGGTTATCAGCCGGAAATCTCTCCTGAGTTCGACTTCGGCATGGCGCGAGTGCTCAGCGCGCCAGAGCTGGACTCCGGCGGATTTCTCGAGTGGTCGTTGAGTTATTGTGTCATTGTTGCTGCTGTTGCTGCTGTTGTTGTTGACAAACTTTCGCTGGTGCTCGGCCCAGAAGTCAGGAAAGGAACAATGCTCGCTTCACCAAAATGAGGTTTCGCAGGTGCGTTCTGAGTTTGCTGCCGTGTCCGTGTTCGAGTCCGGTATCTTGGCCCCGGCGGCCTTGATGCGAGTTTTGGAACCCGCAGGTGGCACGAACGATGCGTCCCATGCTCGCCTGACAACAAGGGTCAGGTGGCTCACGCCCCTGGGCCGTGGTTGGCGCCAGTTCAAAGAAAAAGGGGGCATTCGGCGGATGGCCACCAATGCATCAGCCGGGAAGCCACGATGTCACGAAAGATGGGGGAGTTGTTTTTTCCTTTCTCCGAAGGCCAAAAGCCAGGCCCCCGGGTGGCGCAAGCAGCTCAGTTGTTTGTGCTCATCGCACTGAGCCCGCTGACATCTTCTGGCGAGTTGGGTGTTGCACGTATGTATGTTTCGCGCAGTTGGAAACAGAGGTGTCGTTCGTGACAGCGTCGGCCTGCCCTGTGTGGTTGGTTGTGGCAGGTCCTGATGAGGATAGCCAACCACACGCCGAAACGCTGGATACGGGCAGGACCAGAGGTGCCTTCAGAGTGGGCATGGCCAGTCCTAGATCGAAGAGGGGTGCGCAATCACTTGCTTCAACCCTCTGCTACCAGCCCAGCCACGGGTGGGGGTGAGGCGGTGGCACATTATTTCTTACATCTTGCAGTGATGTGGACATGATTGGCAAACTATTGACCCGGCGGCCCAAGACGGCCCCGAGCCACCCCGAAGACGGTTTGCAGGGGTTCCAGACGACCTACACCGTTTTCCAATGGACAAAAAATCCAAGACGACCCGGGAGGGCTCCAAGAGGACCCACTGCGAACCCCTCAACAAGGGTCAGAACTACCTATAGCTTGGCACGTTGTGAACTCTTGTGGCGAGCCAGTAACCGAAGACGCCTACGGCGAATCACCGCAGCCCCCTGCCTTATGGAATCGCCCATGTGGCCGAACGTTGTGGCAAAACCTCTGCTTAACGATCGAGCCATGTGTTCCCCCAGCCGTTGTAGGGGGTGGCGTGGAATATCAGGAGGAGGAGAAGGAGAAGGAGGAGGAGGAGGAAGAGGAATAATAGTACGAATCTGAGGAGGAGGCGGAGAAGGAGGAATCATATTAATAATAATACGAATAATATGAATAATATTAATACCAATAGTCATACTATTACTAATGCTAATACTAATACTAATACTAATACTGATACGGATACTACTACTAGTACTATTACTAGTACTAGTACTTCTACGAATAATAATATTAATACCAATAATTTTACTAAGCGTATTATTAATAATCGTAATACTATTACTGCTAATTTTACTCGTACTAATAGTATTATTATTTTTTGTTTTTATAAAAATCATTCTAATAATGACAATAATATTAATACTACGAATACTAATATTATTATGAATAATAACAATACTAATATTACGACTACTAATACGAATTATAACAAAACAATACTAATAACAAGACTAATGCGGCACATCATAATACTACTGATATTAATAGTGATATGAATACTAATAATAAAATAAGAGTAATAATACCAAAACTACTACTACTACCAAACATAATAATACGACCAATCATATTAATACTACTAATACCAATAACAAGAACAGTACCAATAATAATACTAATCACAATAACACTACTACGAATAATATGGTTACTATAATTGATATTATTAATAATAGAACTGATACTAATAATACTACCAGTTACACTACTACTACTACTACTACTACTATTACTACTACTACTACTACTACTACTACTACTACTAATGCTACTATTAGTGATATTATTGATAACGCTAATAATAATACCAATAACACTACTAATGGCAATAATAGTAATACTAATATTACTACTAATACGAATACTAATAATACTAATACTATTAATACTATTACTAATAAAACTAATACTAATAATACTAATACTAATACTACTACTAATAATACTACTAATAATAATACTATTAATATTATTATTAATAATACTTATACTAATAATAACAATACTAATAATAATACTAATAATAATACTAACAATAATAATACTAATAATAATAAAAATAATAATAATAATAATAATACTAATGCTAATAATAATAATAATAGTACTAGTAATAATAATACTAATAATAATACGAATACTACTAATAATAATAATAATAATAATAATAAACATAATAATAATACTAATAATAATAATACTATTACGAATCAGAATTATACTACTAAGAATAATAAGAAAAAAGAAAGAGGAGGCGGGGGAGGAGGAGGAGGAGGAGGAGGAGGAGGAGGAGGAGGCAGAGGCAGAGGAGGAGGAGAGGAGGAAAGAGGAGGAGGAGGAGGAGCAGGAGGAGGGAAGCGGGAGGGAGGAGGAGGAGAGGAAGAGGAGCAGGAGGAGGAGGACGAGGAGGAGGAGGAGGGGCGGGGAGGAGGAGGACGACAAGGAGGAGGATGGAGAAGGAGGAGGAGAAGAGGAGGAGGAGAAGAGAAGGAGGAGGAAGAGGAGGAGGAGGAGAGGAGGAGCAGGAGGAAAGGAGGAGGACAAGGAGGAAGCGAGGAGGAGGAGGAGGAGGGGGAGGAGGAGGGGAGGAGGAACGTAGAGGAGGAACAGGGAAGGAGGAGGAGGAGGAGGAGGAAGGAGGAGGAGGAGGAGGAGGAGGAGGAGGAGGAGGAGGGGAGGAGGAGGAGGAGGAGGATGAGGAGGAGGAAGAGGAGGAGGAGGAAGAGGAGGAAAACAAGGAGGAGGAGGAGGAGGAGGAGGAGGACGAGGAGGAGGAGGAGGAAGAGGAGGAGGAGGGGACATCTTGGGAGCCCCTGGGTGCATTCTTGGGGTTTCCTGGGGCTTTCCTGGGAGCGGCTTTGAAGCATTTTTGGGGCCCCGTTGGGCCTCTTGGGGGCCTTTGGGGGCTTCTCGTGAGCTTCTCTGGCCGTCTTGATTTGTGCTTGCACGTGAAGGAAGTCAAGAGGGGGTTTTCAATCTGTCGCCCCTTTGGCTCCGCTCTTTCTTGCATCACATAGCTTCTCTGGTCCCGAGGCTGATGGCCGCGGTCGCCATCCCTGGCGGGGCGGCCGCGTTGCCGGCCTGGGCAGTGCTGGCTCTGGAGGCCGCGGCGTTCTTCGCGCCGGGCTGGGGCCGGGGGCAGCCGAGCTGCCCAGACCTCTCGTGCCCCGCCTGCCCGGCGTGCCCGGAGGCGGCGGCGTGCGCGGCCTGCCCGGAGCTGGCGGTCTGCGCCGCCTGTCCAGCCTGCGAGCCGCCGCCGTGCGCGGCGTGCCCGGCGTACGAGCCGCCGCCGTGCGCGGCCTGCCCGGCCTGCGAGGCTCGGGCGTGCAAGAGGGGGTTTTCAATCTGTCGCCCCTTTGGCTCCGCTCTTTCTTGCATCACATAGCTTCTCTGGTCCCGAGGCTGATGGCCGCGGTCGCCATCCCTGGCGGGGCGGCCGCGTTGCCGGCCTGGGCAGTGCTGGCTCTGGAGGCCGCGGCGTTCTTCGCGCCGGGCTGGGGCCGGGGGCAGCCGAGCTGCCCAGACCTCTCGTGCCCCGCCTGCCCGGCGTGCCCGGAGGCGGCGGCGTGCGCGGCCTGCCCGGAGCTGGCGGTCTGCGCCGCCTGTCCAGCCTGCGAGCCGCCGCCGTGCGCGGCGTGCCCGGCGTACGAGCCGCCGCCGTGCGCGGCCTGCCCGGCCTGCGAGGCTCGGGCGTGCCCTGAGCCGACGGCCGGGGAGAAGGCTGTGGAGAGGCTAGTGGGGGCGCTGCTGGGCGGGCTGGTGCACTGGCTGGTGGCAAAGATCGTCGGCCGCCGTCATGGCGGCACTCGTGGCGTGGCTCCGCGGCGACGCGGGGCGGGAGTGGTGGACTAGGGCGCTCCCAGGCGAGCGTGTGGTCTGCCGCTTCGCCGACGAGGACGTGGACCACGAGCTGGTGCTGACGCACTACCTGGGGAGCGGAGAGTGGTTTGTCCTGACCGCGGACGTGGACATCTACGCTGAGGACCTGAGCTGCAGCGACCCAGAGAGCAGGCCCTCGCGGGCCCTCCCCTTGGCGCTGCGTACTCGCAGGATGAGGAGGCTGTACCGCTTGCGGGAGCGACTGGGGCCCGACGAGCTGGGCGACGCGCGGCAGCGCGGTCGTGAGACGGCGCTCGAGCGGGACGCCACCCTGCCCGAGCCGAGGGAGGCCTCGGCCGCTGACGGCCGACAGGTCATCTGGCAGGAGGCCGCCGGCAGGCTGTCGGCCGGGGAGCGTGCCCGCTCGCTGCGCCTTGGCTCGGCCATGGGCCAGATGGGCGGCTGGAGGCCCCAAGGGCAGGCCAGGCCTGGATCGCCCTCAGCTGTGGGCCGGGCATCGCGATCGGGACGGAGGTGGTCGTGGCGAACACAGACGGCGTGAGCTTCGAGGACGGGGTCGTGCCGTTCGGCGTTCTGAATGACGCTCGTACTTTCGGGGTCGACTACGACGAGCAGGGAGAGTGGTTCAGGCGGTGGACAGTCGTCGTGGGCGAGTCGTGTCAGGTGTGCTACCCCGACGTGAAGGTGGACGGGCCGCCCGGGGCTCTCCACATGAGCAAGCACGTGGAGAGGCGTGGGGGCGACCCTCGGCTCTGGCTCGACGTCGTCAACCGCATGAAGAGGCTCGGCCAGGGAGATTGCGGGACCATCGTGGAGGCCCTGTGTCAATGCGGGGTCTACGACCAGCTGAACATGGGCGGCCTGATGATGGTGGAGGTGATGACACGCCGCGTGGTGGCGGTGGTGGACGCCTACGCGGGCCCGTCCAAGCCGAGCGGGACGATTGCGCGTTTCGTCGAGGGCGTGAGCTCGGAGGAGGACGTCTCGGGGCCCAAGCTCAGGGGCTACGTCCACCGGCGGGCGAAGGAGCAGCACGAGACGGAGCAGGCGCAGAACTGGGCGCGGACGCCGCGCGGGGCGCCTCCTGAGGCAGTCGAGGGAGCAGAATCAGCAGAAGGAGCTGGAGGTGACGCGGCCGGTGCGGGGCGTGGTGGCGGCCGAGGCGGCCGCGGACGCGGCCGGGCCAGAGGCGTCGCCTCCGCGGGGCCATGACGGCCCCCGGCTCCAGCCCCTCCCCCGGGCCGTTTTTGCCGGGGCGCGACGGTGGCCGCCTGCCGCCCTCGCGCGGAGCCCGCAGTTTCCTGCCGCTCCCGCTGTTGGGTGACACAGGCCGCCGAATTCGCGGCAGGTCTTGCCGGGCCAGGCATGTCGGGCGGGAGGCTCGGATCGTGAGCGAGGTTAACGGGATCGTTGGCGCCATATACTGGATGTCGGGTTACGATTCGCAGCCAGGCCCTGCTAACGGCATGCAGCGAGATGTACTTGCGCGCTTCGAGGGCCTCGTTCGGGGCCGGCAGCCGGACGCCAAGTTGCACGAGCCGCAGGCGGCCCTCCGGGAGCTGCTGCGGGGCCGCTCGCCCCATGACGGGCGCAACGGCCCGACGACGGTCGCCTCCTACAGTGCAGGGCTTGTCAGCATGCCGACGGACGTGAGGGGCTGCCCACGTCTCGAGGACCTGTTGCCTGGCGAGGCCCTTGCCTTCCTGCAGGAGCGCCAAGAGCGCATGCTACGACCGGCACCTTTGCCGACCGACATCGAGCCGTATTTCGACTCGGTCCTCGAGTTCAACCACAAAGAGTACCGCGGCCTGGTGCGCCGGCTGCTGTCAGCTGGCATGCTGGGGTGGACTCTATCACCGAAAGAGAGAATCGGGATGTTTTTTTTTTGTGTGGAAGGATGGGCGACGGCGACCCCGCCTCATAGTCGACGCCCGCCGTGCGAACGCCCACTTCAGGGACCCCCCTGGGGTGGGGCTTTTAAGCAGCGAGGGCCTTGCCAGGATCGAAGTGCACCTGCCTGAGGAGGGGCTCTCGAGCTACGAAGACCTTCGCGCCGCGCTGGAGGCGCAGCAGGTGTGCATCGGCATGGCGGACGTGAAGGATTGTTTCCACCGAGTGCGGATCGACGCAGCTCTCTCGCGGTACTTCTGCCTGCCTCCTGTCAAGGGGGGGGCCTTCGGCGTGTCCGAGGTCGAGGGGGCCGAGGTGCATGCGTCGACGGCGATCTACCCGTGCTGGCAGGTGCTGCCCATGGGCTTCAGCTGGTCGCTCTACTTTGCCCAGCGGGCCAACGAGGAGGTCAGCCGCCGCGGCAGCCCGCTCCTGAGGGAGCCTGGTCTCTCGGACCATGGGCCGCCGCTCGTGTTCGCGCCTGACAGGGCGCCCCAGGAGATCAGGCGCTACGTCTACGTCGACAACCTGGGGGTGTTCTCGCTCTTCTCCCAGCTCGTGAGCGGCGTGATGGGCCAGCTGACCGGCGAGTTCACCGAGTTGAACCTGCTGCTGCGCAAGGGCGAGCTGGTGTCGGGATTGGCGCTGGCGCTCGGTGCCGAGATCGACGGCGGGCGGCTGCGCGCCCGGGTGACCGGTGATCGGTTCTGGCGCTGCCGCCAAGCCGTGCGGGGCCTTCTTGCCCGCCGCCGAGTCAAGGGCTGGGCAGTAGAAGCCGTGCTGGGCCATCTGACCTTCTGCGGCCTCTGCTCGCGCGGCACCCTGTCGGCTTTCAATTCAGTGTACGGCTTCGTGCGGGCGCGCTACGACGACGCGGCCGTGCTATGGGCCGAGGCGCGGCGAGAGCTGGCCGCCTTCAGTTCCCTGATGTACCTTTTGGAGTCAGACTGGTGGCTGCCTTGGAACCCGATGGTGCAGCAGTCGGATGCCAGCCTCCACGGCTACGGACTGGCGAGGGCCTTCTGGCCGCGGCAGCTGGTGGGGTCGGCCGGGCGCGTGCCTGAGCGGGCCCGCCTTCGCCGGCGCTGCGCGCGCAGCGCTCGGGGGGCCGCGCTCTGTGCCGCCGGCTTCGGTATGAGCGAGAGTGGAAAGTGGGAACTCAAGGGCCTGCCCGAGGATGAGGAGGAGCTGAGCCAGTGGGGCGTTGTGGGGGACTTTCCAGAAGTGCCCGCCCAGGGGCTCCGCGCAAGCCTGTGGGGGCCCTGTTTCGCTAGAGCCTGGCAGCGCCCCGAAGGGGTCCTAACCCTTGAGGCCCGGGCCCTGGTCAGCAGCATCCATCGTATCGCCGCCGCGGTCTTCGGGTCCCACATGCGACAGCTCCTGCTATGCGATAATATGTCGGTCGTGCTAAGCTTCAATCGAGGCAGAAGTTCGTGTTTCAACCTGTTGATCCAGATTCGTCGATTTCACGCAGTCTGTCTGAGCCGTAATATCCGCTGTTCGATTCGATGGATACCCAGCGAGCTCAACTGTGCCGACCTCCCCTCGCGGCTGTTTGACCCCGACGGCGCAAAGTCCACTCTTCTGGCTGAGTTGTTGGAGCTCGAGCTTTCGCGAGTGGGCCCGGGGCGGGGCCCCGCTTGGCCCGCGCCCGAGCGCGCGCCCGGGAGCGCCGCAGCCCGCGATGCCGCCCGCGCGCCCCCGAGCACCGGGCGTGCGTGGCCGCTCTCGGAGCCCTCGCCGGCGCTCCCGCCAGCTGGCGCCGTCTCGGCCGGAGCCCTGCCCGCAGGCGCCGGCGGGCAGCCAGGAGGCGTGGCGCGGCCAGCAGCTAGTCCCTGCTCCGCCGATAGAGCCACCGCCGTTGCTGGTGGCTTGGCGGGGGCGCCAGCTGGGCGAGTCGAGGCACTTGAGGGCGGCCGTGTTGGGCCGTCCCCTGCCACGGAGCCTGGAGCAGAGGATGGAGGACCTGGCGAAGCTGCCTGTGCCGGCGGAGCCCGCGCGGGGAGTGCCAGAGAGCGTCGGCTCCTCCGACAGCGGGAGCTCCGAGCCCGAGGTCGTGACCGGCGCCGCGCGGCGGCGCAGGCTCGCGCAGTCACAGCAGCGCCGAGCCCGCCGCTGCGGTATGCCAGCCAGCGAGGAGGGCCTCTCCCTCCTGGAGCGGGAGGCGGTGCAGGCCCCGACGCAGCGCGAGTACCAGCAGGCCTGGGACGGCTGGCGGGACTTTGCCCGTCTAAGCTGGCCCTTGGTGGTCGTCGAGGAGGTCATGAAGGGCTGGGGCGACCCCGTGGTAGACCCGGCGCTGGTGACCTACCTGAGCGGCTTGTGCCAGGCCGGGACCCACCTCTCCTGGGCCGAGAAGTTGATGGCGGGCGAGCTGCACTTCAATCCGGTCTTCTCAGGCTATGGCGCCTGGCGCCTCCCCCGGGCCTGGAGATGCCTCCGGGCCTGGCGGCGCCTGGGGCCGCCGCGGACGAGGCAGCCGTGGGTGCTGGCGCTGTGGGGCGCGATGGCGCGGCGCATGAAGGCTTGGGGCAGCCTCCAGATGGCGGTGTTCACCTCGGTAGCGGGGAGCGTGTGCGGCCGCCCCAGCAGCCTCCTGCGCCTGAAGCCGACCTACCTGGTGCCGCCGGCTGTGGGCGTGTGCGAATCCTGGACCTTGAGACTCTTCCTGGAAGAGGAGGACCGGCGGGGCAAGACGGGCCTGGGCGACGAGTCGCTGGAGTTAGACTTGCCCTGGATTCGCTTCTTGGACCCCGTGCTGCACCAGCTGGAAAAGGAGGGGCACCCCGAATGCCTGTGGAACTTCATGTGCCCCGAGTGCTGGCAGAGGTTCAGCCTGTGCCTGCAGGGGCTGCAGGTGAAGGCCAAGGTGGTGCCGCATCAGAGGCGCCACGCGGGGGCCTCACTAGACATGGCGAGGAGGTGGCGGCGGTTGGCCGACGGGCAGACGCGCGGCCAGTGGAAGACCACCCGCAGCGTCGCCCTCTTCGAGAACCATGCCCGGCTGGCGACCACACGGGCGACGCTGAGCAGCGCCCCGCAAAGCGTGTTCTTGGTCTACGAGGCTCAGCTCGCGGACATCATTTTGGGTCACGCCTCGCCGGTCGACTCGCGGGAGCTCGGCCCCGCCTGGCCGGCCGCTACCTGGCGGACTGCTTCAGCGGCAAGGGGGGCGTCGGGCGCGCCGCGATGGCGATGGGGGTGCCGGTCAGGTTCTGGCGCGCGCTGCACGGGCCAAGCGGCGACCTCACCGCGCGGTCAGTCTTGAGAAGCTTGTGCTCGGACATCGCTGCGAGCCGCGTCCTGGCCGTAATGCTTGCCCCGCCGTGCGGGCCCTGGACCACCGCAGCCGACCGAGTGGGTGCCATCCGTTCCGCCTCGCAGCCTTGGGGGCTCCCACGGCATCTTCTGAGTGAAAAGCAGCTGGCCCGCCTGGCGTCTGGGAACAAGACCATGCGGGCCGCGTTGGCCATCATCAGATGCTGTGAAAAGTTTGGGCCCCCCTGTATACTCGAGCACCCTGTGAATTCACGCGTGTTTTTTACGAGAGATGTTCAGGGGGTTATAGATCGTGGGGCCATTGTGAGATGTCTCGGCCAGTGTCAAGAAGGGGCCCGTTGGCGGAAGCGAACCAGATTCCTGTGTCTCAACGTTGATGTTCTGGGCAGCAGTTGTCTCGACCGTAGGTGTTGTCAGATTAACGGAATTGCCCCAGGTCTGGCCGTCGTCACATCGTGCTTGAGGGCAACGCCCCGAATGGTGCGAAATGGACGGCTATCGCCGCTGCTTATCCGCCAGCCCTCAATAGGAAGCTAGCCAAAGTCCTCTTGAGCGATTGGCGCGCGTCTTTATATAATCGCCCTTTCCCGCCCACACAGTACACATTCTTGGGAACGGCTTGGGTTGATGGTGCCTCGCTGCTGAGCGCATGGACGCGCAGCCGATCGTTCATCCGTGTCCCCGCCTTGAAAAGATCTCGGGACGTCCTGGTTTGTGCTTGCACGTGGAGGAAGTGAAGAGGGGGTTTTCAATATGTCGCCCCTTTGGCTCCGCTCTTTCTTGCATCACATAGCTTCTCTGGTCCCCCGCCCCCCCGAGCCCTCTCAATCATGCGTGTGCGCATCTCTGCACCTACTTTGTATCATTTTTCTCTCTATGGTTGATGGTGCCTCACTGCTGAGCGCATGGACGCGCGGCCGATCGTTCATCCGTGTCCCCGCCTTGAGAAGATCTCGGGACGTCCTAGGGCATTCCTGGCTTGCTTGACGCCGTTGGAAGCCGTCTTGGGGGCCTCTCTGGGCCGACTTGGGGCCCTCTTGGGGTGCTCCAGGGCCGTTTGGAGGCCATCTTGGGCGTTTTCGTGGCCGCTTGGGCCGTCTTGGGGCCCTCCTGGGGCCGTCTTGTGGGCCTCTTGGGGGCCTCTTGGGCCGTTCTGGGGCCCTCTTGGAGGCCTCATGGGCGATCTTGGGGCGAGTTTTGGGGGCTCTTGGGCCGCCTGGGGCCGTCGGAAGATCGAAAAGAACCAACTGCCAACATCCTGCAAACACCTTCGAACAATCAATGATTGTGACATCTTCGGGCCTCCTGGAGGAACTCTTGGAGGCCTCTTGGGCCGTCTTGGAGACCTCTTTGTGGCCTCTTGGGCCGTCTTGGGCCATCTTCGAGCCATCTTGGGCCGTTTTGGTGGCCTCCCGGCCCGTCTGGCGCCGTCGGTTTGGTTTGGGGCCCTCTTGGGTGCTCCAGGGTCGTCTTGGAGGCCATCTTGGGCGTTTTGGAGGCCTATTGGGCCGTCTTGGGGCCCTCTTGGGGGAGTCTAGGGGGCCTTTGGGGCCGTTGTGGGGCCTTCTTGGAGGCTTCTTGGGCGATCCTGGGGCGATCTTTGGGGGCTCTTGGGCCGCCTGGGGCAGTCGGAAGGCCGCGCATGAGCAAATGCCGCAATTCTTCAACAACCTATGGAAAATCAATGTTTTTGACATCTTCGGGCCTTCCTGGGGGAACTCTTGGAGGCCTCTTGGGCCGTCTTGGAGACCTCTTTGTGGCCTCTTGGGCCGTCTTGGGCCATCTTCGAGCCATCTTGGGCCGTTTTGGTGGCCTCCCGGCCCGTCTGGCGCCGTCGGTTTGGTTTGGGGCCCTCTTGGGTGCTCCAGGGTCGTCCTGGAGGCCATCTTGGGCGTTTTGGAGGCCTATTGGGCCGTCTTGGGGCCCTCTTGGGGGAGTCTAGGGGGCCTTTGGGGCCGTTGTGGGGCCGTCTTGGAGGCCTCTTGGGCGATCTTGGGGCGACCTTTGGGGATTCTTGGGCCGTCTCGGGCCGTCGGAAGATCGAAGAGAACCAAATGCCGCAATCCTTCAAGACCCCACCGAAAATCAATGATTATGGCCTCTTCGGGCCTTCCTGGAGGAACTTTCGGGGGCCTCTTGGGCCGTCTTAGAGGCCTCTTGGTGGCCTCTTTGGCCGTCTTGGGCCATCTTGAGGCCCATGTTGGGGACTTCTTTGGCGGACTTGGAGGCGCCTTGGATCCTCTTGGACTGTCTTGGAGGCCATAACTGACCATCTTGGGCGAACTTAGAGGCCATCTCGGGCCATCTGAGCCATCTTAGAAGCCGTCTCGGGCCATCTTGGGGCCGTCTTGGAACGGGGCAGGCGTGGACATACACATTTTGCGGTCCTTTCCCGGTGGCCGTCGGGACGGGCCGAAGCCCCGGGGGGAGTCCTGTTTGGAAAAGGACCCAAAACCAAAGGCCGTAGGACCTAGCACGCCAGGCACCCCTGTGACCAGCACAGGGGGCGGCGGACTATTCTAAAGTGAGCTGGGGCAAGGGCGAGAGATAGCGAGCGTTTAGCGGCCGGCCGCCAACGTGTGACTCTGCTTCATTGCGAGGCATGCTACTTGCCATCGAGACCGAAAACATCCTTCGCTTGAGATGACCTGTCGCTCCCGCGACGACCTCCTCCGACTGGGACTATCGTTATTACGGTATTTCGCACGGAGCATAGCCATGGGAGTTCCCCCCGCAGTCATCAACTTTGGCGTTAACATTGGTGGCCGTCATACCGATGGCGTCACTTACATCGTGTTCCTCCTTAGCACGAAGTTTGGGAATTCAGAGGAGGAGCGCCAACTTAACCCGGGAACGGCTCTCGTCGGCTTTCGAGTCCATGCGGGAAAACGGATCGACCAGACAATGACGCGCTTCGAGATTGCCCGCTGCGAGGCTCAAACGGCAGGTTTTCACATCTCCAACTTCCAAGTCCTAACAGTTATTCTGTTCAGAGCCTTCGGAGTGGGGGCGTCGCGTGCACAACAGGTCCTACAACCACTCAACCACGAAGTGCCGAGGAATCAACAGCAATTTAATTCTCTACTTGAACGCATGAGGTCATATGCTCACATTGCCGAGCGAACCCCTGGCAATATTCGTGGTATTTTCAGCCGCGGTCACCGTGCCGAAACCTGTCATGTTGAAGCTAATGCAGGGCAGCCTGCAACAGACGTCTGGAATGGCGATCCGCAACCAACGGAGGCCACCACTCTGTTAGCCCAATATAGTGGTCCAGCTACGGGGTCGCAAGGCTTCTGGGTCAGATATCAGGGGTCGTCGGCAACGGCGGCCCCTGCACAGGCTACTACCATTGTAGGCTCAGTGGGCAACCCGCTGAGTCTGACTTCGGCTCCGGGACCGACGCCGACGCGTCATCAGACGACGAAACGACTGCCCTAGACTACTCCGATATGCCCGCGTATCTGACGGAAAAACAACAGGCTCAATGGCGATTTCTAGGATATCAGAAACATAAACGCAGATGGAGACGGCTTATGAAGAAGCCAATTCGCAATGTACGACGTACAATCCGACGGACACTTCGGGGAAAAAGGTAAGGGCCGGGGCAAGGGTAAGGGCAAACGACGGCGGCTGCATGGCAGAGGAAGACTACTGGACCACAGTATGAATAATTATTATTGGGTGCAGGCGGCCTCAGGAAAAGGTGAGGGACGTCGGGGCAACCCGAAAGATGCTAACGGTAAAAGCATGGAATGTGACATCTGCCATGGCACGCGACATTTCCGCCGTGAATGCGCCCGAGGCGATGGGCGAGGCAGGGGTCCGTTAATGCATTTGGCTCAAACCGATTCGGACACGCAGTATGTCGACTGGGAGGCGCTATTGGCCGACCCTGCCGATAACCCCACCGCAGTTGTTAATTTCATGGCTGCCAGATACCTATGTGCCGGCATGTCCCTCGAGAGATGCGCCGATGAGCTCTTCGAGGTGATATGCGTTGGCCGCGGCGAGATAAAACTTGGCAGACAGGCTTGGCATGCCCGTCGCGGGGCAACCTGCACATATCGAAGTTGTTGAAGATTTCCATGCACCCGCCGGCGTAGGTCAGGATATGGCGGGGGTACCTGCGGATTCTGAAGCTACAATTCCCGCGACAGAAGTGGAAATGCAAATGGTGCTTCATCAGCAGGTCATTGGCAATCCGACAAACATAGAACCATGTGATCATGATCCTTTGCGGGGGAGCCCGCGAGATGCTGGCGACCTTCCAGAACGCATCCAGTACGAACTTTGACATCAGGAAGATCATGATTTCACGTTCATGGCTCATGGGCGGTCTCCGAGCCGCCATGAGCGATCAGCTAGTCGCCAAGTCTGGAGACGCGCGAATAGCTCGGAGGATGACGAAGACGAGTGGGGAGCTGAGGACCAGCGCATGCAGCGTCGCGGTCGCGTCCGCAGCCGTTCGCGCGGGCGCTCGCGCGTGCCCTCCAGCGGCGCCCAGCGCCCTCGCCCTCCTGACACGGGGGCCCCAGGGGCCCCGCCGAGGAGGGGGCGCTCGCAGGGGGGCCCGCCTCGGAGGGGGGGCCGTCCAGCCGCGCCCGAAGCAGGAGGCGTGCAGCGCCGTGCCAGTTATGATGATCATGGGCTAGCTCGCCAGTGTGTACTTCCCAACGCGATGCGATATTGGCTCGACCAAGGCTGGGCCGAGCATGACATTCGCCACTGGTATTCACTTCGGAATTTTGAGCGGAATGACGAAGGCAAGATCGTCCGCGCCAGCGGAGGCAAGGGCGCCAAGACACCGGAGAGCCTTCAAAAACGGGACCTTCAGAGGGCCCTCATCAAGGACTGGCAGGAATGCCGAGGTATCGTCTGTCCTTTCGGATATTTTGCCGACCGCAGACCTGCGTGTCCGATGAGGCGTCCATCAAGGAGCCCTGACTTCGGAAGAATGGGTCTGGTCCCGTGGGGGCGGTCTGGGTCGCAGTGTGGATTCGACCAATCATTCGCCTGCAGAATGTTTGGCTGAAGCTGACTACCGGCCGATTGCTGAGAGAGACATCGATCGGACCGAGCGAATATGGCAGCACCTCGCTCCGAACCACCTTCTTAAATTTTACAATCCAGAATGTCATGCGGGGCAACCCGCTTCTTCCTCGCATGAAGGTGCTGCC